TGTGGACTGCGCAGTGAGGGCGGCTCTGTCCCCCAGGGGCCTGCTTGTGAGTGGCCTGTGGACTGCGCAGTGAGGGGCGGCTCTGTCCCCCCGGACCCGAGCCAGTGCTCAGTTGTAAAGTGCTGGGCCCTCAGACCAGGGGGGCTGTAGGTCTGCACGCTCTCCTTTGCCCCTAGGAACCTCTCCCAGCCTCTTCCCACTTGGGATTTCAGCTCCTTCTGTGGAAGCCTCAAGACATTTGTATATGGCTTTGAGCATAATTGTTCCTCCTACTTTTTTTTTTTTTTTGCCTATTTTGAAAACATATGTGTCACGTTATATATTTAGAGCCTTGTAATAAATTGGAACTTAAAATGAAAACAACAAAACCACCACACACAGACTCCTGATCTATGTGTGTTAGACCTGGCAGTGTGCTCTCACCATGCTTGGAGCTGCTGCCTCCAGCAAATCAGGCCTCTGCGTCAGCCTGCCCATGGCCTGGTTATCATGAATATCTTAGGAGCTCAACACAGTTTTCATGCCTGCACAGCTGGAGGCCATTTTTGTAAGGTTTTGGCACTTTCTGAGCAGGTGAGTGCGCCGGAGCAGGGAATTACTATGTCTGTGCGCCGCGTCCACTAGTGGCCTGACGAGTTCTGCAGTTAGGGCTGACTAAAACAAACAAGCAGGTAGCTTGTGTACCGGTTCTCACCCCCCGTGGGGAGGGGGGGGAAGGTTCAGCTTTTCTTTCCAGTCTCTCACTGAAGTTCTCTTCTTCCCTTTGTCTATACAATTCGAATATATTTGTTGTTGTTGTCTTAATTTCCCAGATGGCCTCTGGGGCTGTTTTTACAGTTTTTGTTTGCCTGTATGTTTTATTGAGACTCTGCTTTGCTTGTGATTCTTAATGCACTGCAATAGAAGTCAACTCCATCTATGCCAACCCAGTAAGGGCGCGGTGCTCCAAGTCCCTCGGGAGCACCTTCCTGGTGAGCACGGAAGACGTCCTTCCTTCCCTAATGCAGGTTTTCACCTACGGACAGCACCATGCAGCTCTTCCTGAAGTGATGGCTCAGTGTGGCCAGTCCAGATACCGCCCCGCAGCAGTGAGGAGCCTAGTGAACAGGATCCCTCTCCGCTCTCAACAGAAACACTTCAGAAAGCAGATGATGAAAGTTCACTGAAAAGGCAGAAGTATTCTGTCCATATTGAAGAATGCAGTTTAGTGTTCTCCACAGCTCTCGAGTTTTGATCCCTCTGAAGAACAGAAGCAGTCATGCTGTTCACTGGCTTGGAAAACCCAGCTCACTCTTTGCCCTCTGCCAGTGCAAACATGGGCTCTTTTTGAGTGATGCCAATTTGATCTTCTCTGATGGCATATTGATGATGGTCTTCTTGCCTGGCTTTCATGGTTTTTCTGCAACGTTTTATAGGCTCTGTCACTAGCCAGCGACGAGTGGCTGTCCCTGCTAATGTATTTGAAATTCACATGGATAAAAAAAAGGTCATATTAAAAATGTGTATAGTCTTTCCTGGAGGGTAATTTATTTCTGAGAAACCCTCCCAATGGCCGATTATTATAAGGCCAATGTAATTACTTCTAAAAATTATACCTATTATTTTGTTATTAATGATGCATGTCATACTCAGTGTTTCTTTAGGAGAAAACTTACAGAATAATTAGGCAGCTGGTACTGGAGATGATGGTAGCTGACCTTGAGTCCTCAGAGTACCCGGTAGCAGATGGGCACTGGGAAGCTAGCCTCGCCTCTCCTAAAAGAGCTCACCACAGGACCACTGTTTTATTTATAAGCTGTGTGACAGACATGACTTTCAAACATACCCAGGAGCAGTGACGCCATGGGGTCTCCCTCTCTTCTCGTGCTGCCCTGCTCTTTTCAAGTGCCCAAATTGCATGGGCCGTCTTCAGCAGAAACAAGTGCTTTCAAGCAACATTTCAGTAATAATAATAATAGAACAGTGGCTCCACATCTTAAATAATACAAGTGAAGCGTGTCTTAAGTGCTTTCCTTGGAACACCTTAGACGTTTCTGTATTTGGATTCTACTGTCAGTGTCAGGAATTTTTCTCTTTCTTCTATGATACTTCGAAGACCCCTGGGGAAACAAGGTTAAGAAAGAAATTAACTTGTGGTGCTTTTAGCATGCAGTTGGTTGGTTGGGATTGTTTAAACTGATGTAGAACATGTTTATAAGAAAACATACAAAGGGGTGGTGTATGTACCTGTGCAGTCAGCACCAGTGTTGAGCATGGAGCCTTTTCTCTGCTGCTGAACGCACTCATCGCTGCCCTGGGTATCACTGCCCTGGGTAACTGCCATCCCAGCTCCTGGCACCTCTGATTGTGAACAAGGAAATGAATTATTAACCACAAAGTGATGCTGCACAACTTGATTCATAGCCATTTTTGTGGTTGTCACTCTGATTAATGAATTAACGTTCTATTCATTATAACTTAAAAGAAGTAGTGGCTTACCCACTGTCGAGAATGGGGAAGCCACATGAGAGCTCTTAGGGTGGTGACACATCCCTAATCTTTGTGAACACCCTGGGAGGGTAGCGTCTTGATGTTTCACAGCTCTTTTGAGGAGGCGTTTATCGCTTGACTTTGCGTGACGCCACAGACAATGAATGCACTTCTGCCGCGCTGCAGTGACTGCCTTGGATGCTTAGTGAGTTCCAGTGGGGCCTCCTGGCTCCTGTGGCCAATGGGAGTCAACCGCAGCACTCTACCATGCCTGCTGTGACTTCATTTTCTGCCAGTTTGAGTAGTTTTGTCCCCCTCTCTTCACGTCTTTGGTATGTGTATGGAAGCCCTCGCAGCTTCCACTATGTAGTTCCAGGGATCACACGCGTCAGCTGGTTGGCAGCAAGTGCCTTCATCAGCTGAGCCATCTTGTCAACCTTTAAACCTTACCATGTAGGAGGGCCTTTTTCTAAGGAAGAGCATATCAGAAGTCTGGATTAGTGTTTGTGACTTGAAGGATAATACCACTTTTCCTTAGTTAGCTGGGAAGGAATTTGCCAGTAATGGCATTGCTCCAACTCTGCTGCTGTATAGCTGACCTGTGTGTCACTCTTTTGGCCTGCTAGAGGGCAGGCTGCAAGTGTGCAGTTACAGAGGAGGACGGCAGTGGAGCTGACAGAGAAGCAAAGCTTATGGGCCGGACACTCACTGTTTCTCTGGGGTAATTTGGGTGATTGGTTTTTATTTACATTCACAGAAAGTAATACACTAAATTAGATGGCTTTTAAAAATACTCTGTGGCTGATAGTTCAAATGCAAAGATTTGGGAGCTGGAGGAACCCACACTCTCTTTTGTGTGTCATTATCTTTTTAGTCAAGGGGGAAGCTATATGTTCTGATTTGTAGAATAGTGCCTTGCCACTGCTAACACATTAAAAGTCGGTGAGAGAATTTAAAGAAAGAAAGGATGAAAGGGGAAGGGAAGGGAGGAGGAGAGGGAGAGAGACAACGAGGAGGAGGGGGAATGGGAGGACTGACTAAGCACTTGGCATTCAGTTTTCTATGGAAGTACTGCTTCCTGGGGGTGCCACAAAGTGCCACGGGACAAGCACATTCTCCATGTGACAGCCTGACCTGGGGTCCTAATTGCTGTGTTCCTTTCTAGGTCCCTAACCATAACAGCTTATAAATGTGCAATCGTTATGGCTCCGGGTGTTTACACAGAGTTTGCTTCATCTGTTCTTAAAAGCTGTTTATTTATTAACTATTTTGACCGCCACTCTCTGATGTTAAAAGATTTATCTTGGGTAAAAGAACATCAAAGATCATCTAAATCTGGCCCAGTGGCTGGTCTGTGCCTTTTAAAAACATTACCTCACTCTTAGGGTCGCTAGTGCCCTCTAGTGAGAGCATTGAGAAAAAGCGCTAGTTACTGGGTGGGAGCCCTTAGCACTTTGAAAGGGGGTGTGTTTGCAGTTTGTTGATGAATAAAAATAAATGTAATGTTTATGTTTCTGATTTTCTCCAAAAGAAATTGAGACCAAGAAACGAGCAGCGGGAGAATGAATTAATTATTTCTTTTTTGAGATGTTTATATGAAGAGAAGCAGAAAGAGCACAGCCACACTGGGGAGCCGAAGCAGGTACGCGCTTTCAGACCCCTGTGCTTTTATAGGGCTCCTGTATGCCCGAGGTGGAGAGTTCATGAAGGCGGAAGCCTTTGTTTCTCCATCAGTTTCATTTGTTGCAGGCAGAGAGAAAACGAGGGAGTGTTCCTTGGGTTTAAAGATGACGAGAGAAGTTTCTGTCTGAACCGTAGCACATTGTAGCTGCTCATGAGCTGAAGAGTCATGTAACTTGGGGAAGTTGGCATTTGTCTCCTCCGTCCTTTGAGAAGTGGCAGTGAACTGTTCAGCTGCAGCTGCCCTTGGGAGTATACGCAGGGTTTCTCCTAGTGTAAAGGCTATGTCAGTGTGAGACAGTGTCCCTGGCCTGCCGGATGCCGTGTGGGGAAGCCTAGCTCCATGTCATTCAGTCAGAACCTCCATTAAATCCATTTGGAGAAGAAAGTGCTGTCCCCTCCCATCCATTCTGCCCATATGTTTCTTGTAGTTCTTTTAGGGTGCCCTGCCAAAATCCGGAGCTTCCCGTCTCCACAGTCTTCCTTCAAGATTGTTGAGTATGGGTTCAGCATACACGGGCCATGGACCAAATCCCTGTGTCTCTCGCTAGTTGGTTATTAATAGCTTCAATTCCTGAGCATTTTATATGGCTGAAGTTACTGGTCCAGAAAATCTAGCAGGAAAAACCAGCAGGGGAGGGCCATCAGGTCCCTTAGTTTTCAAAAAAGGACCCTTCCTTGTGTTTTAGTCTGTTCCACCCTAACTCCCTGGGCAGGGTGCACCTGAGTACAGGGTGCTACTAGCCGTGCTGCAGCCTGTTCCTCACAGGCATTTCTGTCTGGCAACCTGAACTCCGCGCTGTTTAATTGGACGCAGGCTTTGCAACTCCCTTCAAACTTCCTTCGTTTGCTGTCTACGTGCCAGTTGGCTTCGACTGAACGTAGAGCTCTCGTGGTCCCTGAAACTGTGTTGTTTCACTGTCTCACTGGCCAGCTTAGGGCTTGGAGCAGCAGCCTGACACTGATATCCACTGTGCCCTCAGCTTTTGGCCTCAGTGTGCTGCCAGCCCTCTCTCCCTAGCCTTTTCCCGTAGAGCCATCTTGGAGTCCCGAGCTCACCTCTCTACTGACCGCGTAGCCCCACCCAGGCAAGGTTTCCAGAGACTTCTCTAGTTTACTTCAACTGATTTATTTTACACATACACACACACACACACACCCTTTAAACCCTTGTGCCACTAACAGCCTTTTCTGTTTCTGATTTTCTTTGTGAGTCAGTCTGACATATTCCGACAGGAATAGCTTATAATTGTTAGAAAAGCAAATGAAGCACTCACAGTGGATGGAATTTTTGACCAAAATACAAATTTATTTTTATCGACCTTCATGATTTGGGTGTAACTCAGTCCCTTGGAGAAATATGTTCAATGTTTTGTTTTGTTTTGTTTTCTATTTTCAAAACACCAGAGGCTTTGATGTAAGAGAGAGAGGGCCTCACGGTCAGCACTGGTACCTGGAGCACATCCTGCTCATGAGTTCTTCCACTCAGGTCTTTTCCTTTCTTGCTATGTAGAAAAGGCTGGTCTTGAACTCGCAGCCATCCTCCTCCTACCCCCTCCTGGGCACCAGATTACAGTCAAGTGCCGATATACCTGGCTATAGCAGCATTTTTGGTTGGGTAGTAAAATACTCATTTTAGAGTTAAGAAAGTATGAACAGATACCAGGAAGTTTGTTAGTGAGATCTAAATATATTATTCCAAGCATACTTTAAAACATAACAGAATTGAGTGCCACACTATGGGTCCTCCTGAATTTGTTTTCAAGTAAATTTTTTCCTTTTTTTTTTTATATTTTATTAAGAAAAAAATGTCAAGTATACCGACCAGATGAGAGGATTAGACCACGAGCACTTATAGCCCCCATTCAACATGCCAATTTTACCAAATTGTTAACATTTTGTAAATTTGCTTTGTCAAGTATCTACCGTTTCTATTAACCCATTTTATTTTGATGCCGTTCAAAGCAAGCCTTTGATAAACTCTTTGTCCCCAGATACTTGGGCATGCATCTCATTATCGACAGTTTGGATTTTTGTTGTTTGCTTGCTTGCTTCCTGGTCTGTAGTTTCCCCATCTGTTAAAGGGGGAAAACCCAAGGAGAGTTCAAGGTAAAGCCTCCACACCTGAAATTATCATCTTAAAAGAAAAACCTTCTAGATGTTTATTTTAAGATAATACAGTACTTTTATAACATAGCTAGGTACGGTATTTTCTAAAGGTAAATTGTAAGCACACAGTACTTGGGAATTATAATTGAGTTCTGACCTAGGGAAGAAAAAGTCATCTTTTTGGAAACAGAAGGGTACAGAAGTAGAAATTCCCCAGGCCCATTTAAAAGCACAAGCATGCAGCTTCTCTTTTTCCCTGTAGGATCTACCAATACTACTTTCTTTAATCTTTCAGTCAGTATTGCCTTTTCTTTCAAAACCGTCGGTCCAGTCTGCTTCTAATATATAAACCCCTCATGAGCCTGAAAGCGGCTCTGGATCACCTTAACTTTGTGTGCGACCTGGTGGGGCCTCCTCAGGGCGGGCCGTTTGTGGGTGAGGGTCTACCCTGACCTGGTGGGGGCCTCCTCAGGGCAGGCTGTTTGTGGGTGAGGGTCTGCCCTGACCTGGTGGGGGCCTCCTCAGGG